TTCAAGAAGACTAAATCCCCTGATGCTAAGAAGGGTGAAAATTATTCTACATCCTCTCTCAGGCCAAATAGAAAAAAATAAGTGATTTATAATGTAGACAAAGACAAGCAACTAATGCAGTATGAAGAGAAGACAAAACAAGTCTATAACCCTAACCCCCAACCGAAGCTGATACTCGGGGGAAATGATAGGCCACGAACTTTTCAAAATGGAGGGGAACATCTGAGGCAAGCAATGGGAACCGGTGATAGAACGTTCCCATCTTTCAAAGATAAAATGAATAAAGAATATCCATTCAAAAGAGATAGTGTCGCAAAGTTATTTTGACAGGCATTAAAAGAAGCCCTAGAACTGCTAGAGTGCAAGGGGCCAGAGGAGTCGAAAGAAACTGGTGACCCGAACTATTGCCCGTATCACTGAGTGCTGGGCCATCCCATTGAAGATTGCTATATCTTCAAGGATTGGGTTGAAAGGAAATACCGGAAGGGAGAGCTCACATTGTCAGATAATGTGTTGGTTAATCCTAGAAAAGAATCAACCCGGGTAGTTACAACTTCCTCCATACCACCGGTTGAAGAAAAAAGAAAGGAAAAGAAGCTGATTCAAGAAGATTGATGGGAGGCTGTAGTCTCCAAGAAAACAGTGAAGATGCTGAAGCAGCTTGAGGGTGTTTCAGGTGTGAAGTGAAAGTCTTCCACAGAGCCAGTGATAGATATCAAAGCTCTACCTGCAATGCGAGCATCCAATTCTAAGCTACTCCTTAACCAAGCTGGCACTTCGAAGTCTAGGAAGGTGAAATCCTCGAAGAAGAAGACCAAGTTGAGGAAGCTTAGGGAGAAAAAGATAGCAACCCAAAGGGTTATCGATAGTTTAGATGAATACTATCAGACTGTCAGATGCCCCATTAAGCTTGATGATTTTATGGCAGAACTCAAAATTGAAGAAGAAAAAGAAGCTGATGAAGATACACTTCCCGTGGAAGCTTGTCGAGTTATATCAACAACACCGGTAACTCGGGCCAAAAAGGAAAAATAAGCACCCTCTGAGTCCTGTATGATGGTATCACCAATGGATTACAGTGTATAAGAGGATTTGTATTTTCCAGAAGATGATGAATCAGAGCCTGATATCACTTCGCAGATGGAACATGTGAATTTGGGCAGCAGCTCTGAATCAACAGAAGAATCTCCAAATGAGGCAATGATCGATTCTGAAGATAATGCACCGTTAAATGAGTCCGAACAGGAAGAAATTGCCCAAGTGCAATTGAGGAGTGGTAAAACACTACCGTCTCCATTAAAAAAAGGAATCCCTGATAAAGACAAAGGGAAGGAGATTATCGTTAATGAAGATATCATTCTCAAAGATTCCAAGAAAATGGAAACTCCAGCTAAAGAGGTAGATTATAATATCCTATCCCATTTGAGAAAAATCCCAGCACAGCTTAGCATATATGACGTTCTAGTGATGTCCAAAGATCTTCGGGAGACCCTGATCTAGGCTCTCAGGGACCCCGAAAGATATGAGGCGTATTTCGCTGAGCGTAACTTGACTGAGGTCCTGCTAGCTCGGAATGAGCCAATCATTACTTTTGCCGAAGATATCATGATGCTTGGAACTGCAGATTACAATCGACCTTTATATGTTACTGCAGAAAGTGACAGGATGATAATCAGCCGAATTTTGATTGATCCTGGATCCTCCATCAACCTTATGAGCTTGTCTAAGATCACTTTGTCTCGATGTACAGCACCTTGGGCAAGATAAATTGATGGTGCACGACTTCAATGAAAAGGGGCAAAAGATCCTTGGATCATTCATGCTCCCTCTAGTATTTGGGGAACTCCATACGGAGGCAAAATTTCATGTGATTGATGCGGACATCTCATTTAAGGCGCTTCTGGGTCGCCCGTGGTTGCACGATTATGGCATTGTCCCATCAACACTACATCAATGTATGAAGTACATCAGAGATGGAGATGAGTTAAGAATCTCCGGTGATATTTAGACCTTTGCAGTTCACGAGGTGAAAATTTATGAAGATGCTAGATACTTCATCCCCAAACAATCAAAGTCGTTAAGTTCTCTCGAGACTAAGGCAGCAAACTCAAAGGCTGCAAGGCGGCCCAAACAAGAAGATGAGAAGAAGTAGGTGGGAAGAAAGAAGGCAACACCGACTCTTCCTAAAATAGAAACCGCTTCTAAATCAAGAAACATGTGCCTCATCTAGGGAGTGACACAGATGAAGATGATATAATCCCTGTTAAATCTCAGGAAATATGCCAATCAACAGTTAGGGGGAAAAAGAAGGCAAGATATTCAGATGATGACTATGACTACGAGTCTATTTATATGAATAATGTGCAACATATACTTTCAAAGATGATAGATAATCTATCAATCTCAGACAATGAATGTGTGGTCACGCGAATTCCCCCACAACATTTCAAAGAAATCGCTCCTCAAGAGGTGCATAATGTTGAGGAACTTGTAATATTTTATGTGCCTCCTCGAAGAAATAGGGGTGGATCGGGAACACTATTTTACAAATCTGGAGAGCGTGGAGATGAAGAGAATCGAGATTGGCTCTAAAGGCCACCGAACGTAGGGAGTTAGTGCCTACAAGAATGCCCAGATTTATTATAAGAAATATATGGAGGATGTTGCAAAAACAAGTTAGAATTCGCACCCCTATGCAACAACTTCATCTTTTCTTGAAGCTTTGGTATCAAATAAATCCCCATACATTGCGAAGAAAGGATATTCTCGCTAGAAGAGGCCTCGAATTTGTCGTGAGAAGACATTCCCAAGGGGAGACGTGTCGTTTCATTACATGCAGGGAAATTGAATTTGGTGATGATGGTGTTGAAGAGATTTATGAAGCTAACGATTATGATGATCAACCAGTAGGAGCTGAGCCTACGCCTGAAGAACTTGAAGATGGTGGACAGGAAGCCACTATGGACGAGTTAAGGGAGATAAATTTGGGAACTGAGGAGGACCCTCACCCGACCTTTATAAGCTCCCTTCTACTAGAAGATCAAGTAGAAGAAATGAAAGAGCTTCTCTATGAATTCAGTGATTGCTTTGCCTGGACACATGTTGAAATGCCAGGCTTATCCCCTGATGTTGCAATTCACAGATTGGCCATCAAGCATGAGGCGGTGTCTGTCAAGCAAGCTCCAAGGAGAATGAGATTAAAGATTGAAGAACAAGTGATTGCTGAAACAAAGAAATTAATAGATGCAGGCTTCATACGAGAAGAAAAATACACCAACTGGATTGCAAATATTATCCCAGTAAAGAAGAAGAATGGGCATATTCGTATCTGTATGGATTTTTGGGACCTCAACAAGGCGTGCCCAAAAGATGATTTTCTACTTCCTGTGTCCGAACTCCTGGTAGACAGTACATCAAATTATGATATATTCTCATTTATGGACGGGTCGTCAGGTTACAACTAGATCATGATGGCACCTGAAGATGAGAATCATACGGAATTTAGAACTCCCATCGGTATATTTTGCTATACAGTCATGCTCTTTGGCCTAAAAAATGCTGGTGCGACCTACCAGCGAGAAATGACACGTATCTTCGATGAATTAATACACCAGAAGGTCGAGTGTTATGTTGATGACCTGGTTGTTAAAAGCATTGATCGTAAGGACCACTTAACTGACCTAAGGATCGTATTTGTGAGAATAAGAAAGTTATATCTGAAGATGAACCCTCTAAAATGCCCCTTTGGTGTTTCTTTTGGAAAATTTCTGGGGTATGTAGCCCGTCATCGAGGAATTGAAATTGACCCAAACAAGATCAAGGAAATTATAGAGATGCCGCCACCCATAAACCTTAGACAACTCCGCTCCTTGCAAGGGCAGTTGGCTTTTATTCGACGATTCATATCGAATTTGTCGGGTAGGTGTCAATCATTTTCTAAATTGATGAAGAAAGATGTCCGCTTTAAATGAGATGCAGAGTGCCAGGAAGCGTTTGACAGCATTAAAAGATACTTGTTGAATCCGCCCATCCTCGCGGCACCAATCCTGGGGAAGCCTCTTATTCTGTATACAGCAGCACTAGAAGAGTCCCTCGAAGCACTATTGGCCCAACATAATGAAGAAGGCAAGGAGAACGCACTCTATTACATCAGTAGAAGATTGATTGGAGCAGAAATTCGCTATTCCCCAATTGAGAAGCATTGTTTGGCATTAATCTTCGCAGTTCAGAAGCTCCGCCACTACATGCTGTCTCATAAGATCACGCTGATATCGAAGATTGATCCACTGAAGTTCTTGATGACAAGACAAGCATTGATAGGTCATCTGGCCATGTGGACAGTATTATTATTGCAGTTTGATATCATGCACCTGACACAAAAGGCGGTGAAGGGACAAGCTTTGGCAGACTTTCTTGCCGCACATCCTATCCCGGCAGACTCCCTGCTTAATGACGATTTTCCCGACGAACAAATCATGCAAGTTGAGGAAAATGAGAAAGTGCCATTTTAGTAGATGTATTTTGATGGAGCATCATCAGTTAAAGCTACCCGACCTCCAAATCTTGCTAGAGCCCAAGCTGGCGTCGGCCTAGTTTTCATCGCACCAGAAGGAGGCATAATAAGATTTTCATTAAGTTTAACTGAATCCCAAACCAACAATGTAGCTGAGTATGAAGCTTTAATTATGGGATTGGAGATTTCTATTGATGTTAGAATCCAAAATCTCTAAATTTTTGGCGACTCTCAACTTGTAATAAATCAAGTCCTGGGGGTTTATAAGATTTACAAGCTTGAGTTGGCTCATTATCACAGGCGAACACTTGAACTCCTAAAATAGGTGCCAAATGTTGAAATAGCTTGAGTTCCTAGAGGGTAGAATGGGAAAGCAGATTGTTTGGCCAAATTTGTAAAGGAGATGGCAAATACCAATAAGGAGATGCCTATATTCAATGGAGTTTATAACCGTCGAATCTTGGAGCCTGCTCTGCTATAATTCCCGATGGCAGAAGAGATACCAAATCCAGGTAAGCAGGATATAATTCTAGTTGAGCCTCAATCCCTCCATCAGATTGTTATGGAAAATTATCCGGAAGAATATCATATGGCCAAGAGACGTAAAGCTAGTCAAGCCTCAAAATCATGGTGGCATTGTTTAGATATTGAAGTCGAAAATAATTGGAGACAGTCATTCATTGACTACTTCAAAGAAAATAAACTCCCGACAGAAAAATCTATGGCCGCACAAATTTAGAAAAGGCACTGCGATATGCATTTGTCAACGACACGTGTATCGACGGGCTTTTGATCAGATGTGTCTAAGGTGCCTAGGGACCAAAGAAGCTGATAAAGTAGTAACAGAAGTTCACGAAGGACTTTGTGGTGCACATCAGTCAGGTCCTAAAATGGCTGCTAAAATTAAAAGAATGGGTTACTATTGGCCAACAATGGTGACAGATTGCATTAATCACGCTAAGAGGTGCCATGAGTGTCAGATTCACGGTGATGCTATTCATCAGCCACCAAATCCACTGCACCCAATAATAGCTTTCTGGCCATTCGAATGTTGGGGAACTGATATAATTGGACTGATAGATCCACCATCTTCGGTTGGGCACCGTTTCATTCTAGCAGCAACAAACTATTTTTTATAAATGGGCAGAAGCAGCTCCCTTCAAGGAAGTCACGTCCGAGCATGTGATTAACTTCTTCACCCATAATATTATCTACAGATTTGGTGTACCTCGTCATGTAATTTCAGACAACGGCACAGCATTCAAGAGCACCAAAATATTCAAATTCGTCGAACGACACAAGATCTATTGGAGATATTCATCGATATATAATCCAAGGGCTAATGGCTTGGCAGAGGCCTTTAACAAGACGCTGGTGAAACTGTTAAAGAAGATCCTCACCAAAAATAAAAGAGAGTGGCACACTAAAATGGTGGAGGCATTATGGGCGTATCGTACTACTTATAAAACGTTGACTAAAACCACCCCCTACTCACTAATGTTCGGGGTTGAAGCTGTACTACCATTGGAAATCGAACTGCCATCACTTCGCGTGGCTATTCAGTACGATCTAACTCAGGAGCAAAATGCTCGACTGAGAACGGAAGAACTCGATGCGCTTGATGAAGTCAGACTACTAGCTCAACAGAACTTAGAGATCTATCGGGCAAGGATGACGAAGTCATTTGATCGGATGGTACGTAATCGAGCATTTCAAGAAGGGGAATTGGTCCTGGTGCTGAGAAGGCCAATCATCCCACACTGAAAAATTGGTGGAAAATTTGTGTCCAATTAGGAAGGCTCGTTCGTCATTGAGAAGGTGTACCTAGGAGGAACTTATCAATTGATTGACCTGGAGGGTCAAAGGCCTATGCCCCCAATTAATGGCCGATACTTAAAGAAGTATAATGTATAGGAATCAATATATATTTAAAATTCTGTTGTGTATCTAACAAATGCCCACTAGCATATGTATAACATATATATTTCAAAATTCTCTTGTGACACAAGAATGTATTTCGAAGAAAAAAACTGGGGGCATTTTAAATATTTATTCGTGTCAACATCGCGCTGTGTGCCGAGATCCCAGAATAAATATTTAAAACTCAGGAATGTTAATATTGTAAAAAAAAAAAAACTAGGGGCATTTTAAATATTTATTCGGGTCGACATCGCGCTGCGTGCCGAGATCCCTGAATAAATATTTAAAAATCAGAAATGTCAATTTTGTAAAAAAAAAAATTGGAGGCATTTTAAATATTTATTCAGGTCGATATTGAGTTGCGTGCCGAGATCCCCAAATAAATATTTAAAACTTTGGAATGTCAATTTTGCAAAAAAAAGGGGGGAAATATTTTTATATATTTATTCGGGTCGACATCACGCTGCGTGCCGAGATCCCTGAATAAATATTTAAAATCATCGACTACAAATATCCCTTTAAATCAGGATGTGATAACTTCTATTATCAATGTACATGTGATTAATTTTCCCTGTAATTTGAGACATCTCTCCTCCCAAGTGTACTAAGATTTCAAAAGTCAAAAATGAAGATTTTTGTGAACATACGCTCCAACAAATTGAGCCAGAAAAGTTTGAAGTTTTTTTTCAACAGCCTGAAACTTAATGTTCGAATGGGTGTAAACGGCTGGATCTAACACGTCCAAATATAAAAGGCCGGATCTAACACGTCCAAATATGACCATATCTTTGGCAGCTCTATCTACTAAATACGCCATAAGAAAGGCCGTAGTAGTGGAACCCCCACTTCGTTAACCCATCAGTAGGGACTACAGGAAGAACGAAGGCTGATTTGACTCAACGTGTTCTAGGAGTCATAGTCTACAAGAATCCTAATTGACCAGAGAATCGGAATTCCAATGGACAAGAGTAATCTCGAACACCTACTAAATGTACGTAGATTTCAAGTCTTCAACCACAAAAGATGACTTCAAATCTACCAACTTCAGAAGATTCAGTATCAGGGAGCACATTTCCCATAGTTCGAGTCTGAAGCCTGAATGGGTGTAAAAGGCCGGATCCAACATGCCCAAATATGGCCGGATCGCTGGCAGTTCTGTCTACTCAACACGCCATAAGAAAGGCCGCAGTAGAGGGACCCCATTTCAGCAAATAGAAGATAAAGAGCTACTTAATCTTAGCTCTCCTAATCTGATGAACTCAAGTGACTCAGATTAAAAGTCTTCCCAAGTGATTAAGGATTAAGATACTACCCACATTTGGTACTATCAACTGAATCCAAGAACTCACAAATCTTTTGTTAGGTCCATCGCACAAAGCATACGACAGAAAGAGCCAAAATTTGGAATTTGAGCTAAATCTAATGGCTACTGATTTCAACTAATGGCTGAAGCGACACTGCTTACAACAATCCTTAGAGGCTGGAGGCATTTTAAATATTTATTTGGATCGACATCTCACCGCATGCCAAGATCTCCAAATAAATATTTAAAATCCCCAGTGACACCAACAATACATGTCTAGAACTCAAGCTCGGAGTATAACTCCAACACACCGCTCAGTACAACTCAGAGAACAAAAAAAAAAAGAAAGAGAAGAAATGCTTTAAAAAAAAACCTCCATATATGTATACAATAATCATCATAAGGTACAAGTACCGGGATACTAAAGGAACTGCATGAGTACAGACGCTACAGAGTATAAGAAAAGAGGGAGATAGGTCAAGAGATACGAGACTTTAGAACTCTGACAAAGACTAGAACTCTATCTCTACACTGTGAAACTCCTCTTCTGCCTGTACTAAAGCGGTCTCGGCATCCACCATCGCCTGGTGCAAAGTATGGTGGCAATGCTACTCCCTCCTAGTGAGACGATCACGCTGACTATGCCTCACCTCTACATCAGTCTTTTTGGACATCGCCTCCTTGATGTCCCTCCAGAGACCCCTCACGCGAGCTGTAATATCTGTTATCTCAGCACCCATCTTCGAAGAACTCTCACCGTGTCGCCTCAGTGCCGCTGCACTCCTGTCGAACTAGTCATGGGCGACATCAGCTGCCGCCCGTCATCAGAAAAGTCTATGCTCTAGCTTTGGGAGTGTAGTACCGGGCCGTAGGGTGGCAAAAGCCCTCAATCGTCTAACGAAAGCCTCTGCCTCGTGATAAAGTACCTACCAACCAACTAACTCAGAACTATCCATCCTGAGACTGGCAAGAAAGCTGAGGGACTGGTCGGCATAAAAAGTGAACCTATCCTAGGACTCTGGAGACCCGGGATCAATACTGCAGATCAGATCCTGTAAAATCTCTCTAGCGTGGTTGCACCTGTTAGCGCTCATAGAATATGGGAGTAAAGGAACGTGGCTGAAAATCTTTGAAGTATAGTCAGCCCCCCCAGGCACTGCACGAAGAATGACAAGCAATCAATATGATAACATATAATATTATAATGCATTAAAATGAACAAACTTAAGACAGATGCTTACCTGCTGAGGAGCTCGCAGAGTCAGGGGAGTAACCAGCAGGAACAGAAGAAGGGCCTGCAGCATCAGTTTGGGTACACTCAGGAAAGAAAGAAAACCCTGTAGGTACTAAGTCTAAGGACGCTGGTAAGTATGACAGTGTCTCAAGAAACTCTGAAAGTGAGCCTGTGCCAGCTCCTGAAGACTCCCCGTGATAGAAAGACCCGTAAGGGTACACCAGAAAAGAGAAGTCGTCCAGAGGGTCCAGCATACTATAGCTAGTAAAGTCTGATCTCCATGGTCTCTGTGAACTCTCGTCGGAGTCCCCAAGTAAAGTGTGAATGTCCATATACATCTGAGAAGATGAAGTACGCTGGGAGCCGGCACGTCTACGCGAAGGCCTGGTAGTCTCAGCACGAGGTAGCTCGGGTGCCACATCTGGAGCTCTCACCGGAGAGGGAACTACGACCCCAGCAGTAGTATGGGCCTCAGTATCTGTCCCTATATCAAGAGCAAATTAAGCAATAAATATTTAATCAAATTAATAAATGATAAAAAAGGGACGGGTGAAAAAGTACCTCTCTCAAAAGTAGCGTCCGAAAAACCCCTGCAGGATCTCTGTCCCCTCGGCAACCTGAGATCGTATACTCTGCTCTCGTATCTCTTAGCTCCGTGCTCCAGAGAAGGAACAAAGGACAAACACACTCAAGTCAGCCGCGTCAAACTAATGCCGGTACAACTGGATGTCTGAGCTAGAAGAAAACTAGACCCGGTGCCAAGCCTGAGCAAGTGCAGCCACGTCACTACTGCTGTGAAGAAACGGGTCTCCTGCGGTACAGTCTCCATGCGTAAAACATCTGTAACTCAAGGAACAACTGGCCGATTGTCAAAAGCTGTAGCTTGAGAGTACCCAAACTGTCTGGCCACTCTGTTGGGCTAATAGCCCTCCAACGTCACAATGTTACCGGAACGGTAACACAACCAGCCAGGGCGTATGCTGATGTGGTACTCAGCAACTGTCAAACTCTATCCACGGAGCAGAAGCATGGGTCTACCTCTGTGATCCTCTCCGACTCTAGGGTAGAGGAAGCCTGAGACAACGGGAGAACAGTGGGGTACCCTCTCTCTGAGAAGTAAGCAGAAAACTCCAGAATAGAAAAGGCGCCCTGAACGTACAAGTCAATCCATCCGTACAAGTACTGCCACGGTAAAGTCAGATCCCGTAGCTCGAGAGAAGTGGCCTCAGAAGCAGTGCGTAGAGACCTATAAATCCTAGCAAGTGTCGCTGGAGCCAAAGCAAGTCTCTGCCCTTGTGCTAACTGACTGGCGACCAAAAGTACGCTACATCTAACTGATCCTACTCTAAGAGGAAGAACGAAAGTGTAGAGCCAAGTAGCCAAAAATACCACCAAGAACAAGTCCTCACTGACAGCCGACAACCCTGAGAAAGTACAACTGTAGGTAGAAGGCTCAGCAGTCTCCTCTGACAATGGATCACCACGCTCCAAACCAAGTCCAAAAGGGTCATGTAGTGAAACTCCAACTGAAGATAGGTACATCTCTTGAAGAAAACTACGAATCCAAACATCGATGGGCATGAAAGCCCTAGAGCACCTCGACAGGTCAGACGCTCTATGCGTCTGTCTATAGTGCTGCAGTGCGACGGGGTAAACATCTGGCAGTATTAACCTCCCTCTCCTATCACCGTCTTCCGAAAGGACCCGCTGAAATAATTGCTTATCTGGAAGAACACACTACTCAAAGCGGTGGCCAAAATTGGTAGCCCTGACACTATCTGGAGGTCTGAAAGAGTAATCGTGAGCTCCTCCGCCCCGATCCAGCAAGTACCTCTTCCTGAGTCTCAAAACTCAACTAAACCTCGGGCCCAAGAGGAAGGAAGGCGCCCGTAGTCAAACAGCGAGGCGTAAACTGCCCTGTAAATCCCCGCTGCCTGTAGTGTACCTCTATGTATCTGAAGAATGTATCATGCCCAACAAATGTAACCCCTGACTGGACTCTGCACCTGTCCAACTGTAGAGTCTCTCGGCCACTCCAAGGGTGCCGGCTGTAACTACCGGTAACCAAGAAGTCTCGATTGTCCAACAGGCTCCGCTACATCGGCTGCTGGCACCAAAATGTCGCAAGTCCCCCAGCTCAGTGGTGCAAAGGTACTCTCTAGTGGGTGATACTCCCCGCACTGTAGTCTGAGACTAGTGACCCACCTATCCGGGTTCTCAAAAGCAACAGAATCCCTAGAAATCTCTGGCAGTAAAGGGGAGCGGGTAAAGAAACTGTGGAAAACATCTCGCCCCCCAGCATATCCTGGTGCTACTCTAGTCTATCCCAAACATCAACTCTACTATGGGGATCCCGCCTGTGAATCGCATCCCATATGGCAGCCTCACTAGGCTCACCTGGTGGAAGATCATCAGGTCTCTACCAACGGAACATCTTTTGCATGAGGAGAAAATGAGAGTGCGTCAAAAAGCAGTTATAATAATAATAAATGCTATAAAAAGTGAAGGGGACTATGAAGGACCGTCAACTAACTCGACAAACCAAAACCATTCGAGCTGTAAGATGTTTAAATTTAATGCTTGACTTTTGAGCATCAATATCATTGCAAACCAATGGATATTAGTTAAAAAAAAAAGATATTTAGTGTGACATTCAAAGAGGCTTTGGAGATCCACAAAATGAAAACCTCCGGTGTGACATCCAGAATAAATATTTGGAGATCCACAAGGTAAAATAATGTTATAAAAAACGCGATACCCTCTGGATGCGTACCACATTTGTTGGGGGGCATTTGTTGACCCTTATAACTCACTACGCGCAAAAAGGACAAAAGTGGCGTGTCGAGTAATGCGCGGGTTGATACAATGCGTCACTTGAAGGGTCAAATGATCTCTAATTGCAAAAAGAACACCATCGTTGCGATCAGGATATCGAATTATGCTAAGTCGAGGCCCGTCGCAATCGAATCGGATGAGATCGGTCAAAAGGGACGACCGACACCCGAAATTAAAGTACAAAGCTGATCAAATGACGTCGGATCGACGAACCAATTTCGCCATTACGATCGAAACATTATGAATACTCAAAAAACTATGTCTTCTATGTTTAATTTGGATCATCCAAATTTGTTGCACAAATTTCGAGACAAAATACATATATCGAGAAAATTGGCCTTGGCGTTGGCGAAACAAAGTTCGACCGCGAAACAAACTTCGCCACTGCATCCAGAATATCCTAAATACCTAAGGGTGACATCCAATTTATTCAAATTAAAGCATGCGCGGTCAACACACATTTCAAGGTAAAGCACAAATTTCAAGAAAAGTTCGCTCGGTGCTACCCAAATGACGTCCGATTGATGAACGAACTGCGTCATTGTATTCGGAACACCGACAACACCCTAAATGCACTATCAATTTATTTAATTGAGGTTGTGCATGCAAATCGAGGCGATCCATTGCAAGAATTAGCCTCAATGTTACTCAAATGACATCCGATCACGAAACGGATAGCATTATTGCGACTGGAGCATCGATAATACCCTAAATGCACTATCAATTTGTTTAATTGAGGTTGTGAACACAAATCGAGGCGGTCCAGTGCAAGAATTAGCCTCAATGTAACTCAAATAACGTCCGATCGTGAAACGGATAGCGTCATTGCGATTGGAGCGTCGATAATACCCTAAATGCACTATCAATTTGTTTAATTGAGGTTGTGCACGTAAATCGAGGCAATCCAGTGTAAGAATTAGCCTCAATGTTACTCAAACAACGTCCGATCGCGAAACGGATAGCGTCATTACGACTGGAGCATTGATAATACCCTAAATGCATTTTCAATTTTTTTAATTGAGGTTGTGCACATAAATCGAGGGGTCCAGTGTAGGAATTAGCCTCGATGTTACTCAAACAGCGTCCGATCGTGAAACAGACTTCGCGGTTGTGCTCGGAATAGCATCAATATCCTAAATCCATTATTAATTTGTCTAATTTCGATATTTGATGAATTCAACATGTTAAACGAGATAATCAACACGCAAAATAAGAAAATTGCACGCAAATTGAGGCAGCCTTTGACTGATTGATGCATCTTCGTCATGTAAATTAATGCATGAATGACTAAACTCTAAAGCATTAATATGGCATTAACCTAACAATTTTTTACAAAATAACAGATGCTGAATGAGGAAAGAAGTCAAATTCACATTAATTTGCATTATTGCCATACCACGTTCTGTCGAAATCGCGTCGTCAATCTGTCGCCTCGTCGCTCATCACAGCTGGCCGTTTCCCGTCGTTGAATGAAAGACAATACTAGTAAAGGCCCCTAGCTGCTCCGCTTTCCCCCAGCACCAAACCTCTCCCGTTAACTTCTGATTTCTCCAACCCCTCCTCAAGCTTGCTGGTCTTCAATCTTCAACAAACAAAACTCTACTGAGCTTCTCAGAGTTCCGTCCAGCCCTCTCCTTCTTCCAGGTGAAGTTCAAGTCCAGGTGAAGTTCAAAGCCAGCGAATAAATCCTCCTCTAGTCCAACTGCATCCAAGTTTCTCTGCGAGAAACCTCTAACCAAAGCACTCCACTGCTGATTGGACAAGCATCCCACGTTT